TATTGACAAGCTTAGCAAAAAAAAAAAATTGTTATTGACAAGTAAACAAAAAATATATAAATGAATAGTAATCTTTTGAAAAATATATCACATATGATGGTATGTATTAGGCTAGGAAATCCAAACATTAACTTAGACTTATTTGACAAGATAGCTAGGTAAAAAACAAGACATTAAAATGTTTGGGACAGAGATGAGTTGAATAAAAAAATAGATATAAGTATCAATGAAGGTTAGTTTGAGTGATAAACAGTTTGATATATCTTAAATAAGATCTTAAGTTTGAATATTTGTGTATATAAAAATTCTAAATTTGAGTAAAGACGATGTTTCTTTTCTTTTACCCAATAATAATAATTTGATAAATAATTTAAAACAAATTGTTAAAATAATTGATGTATACGATACTTTTTATCTTGATTAAAATTGGAATTGATATAAAATTTATGATTTTTTTGATAAATTAATTTTTAATAATAAAATTTTTTATCAATTGAATCTTAATTAAAATAATATCAACACCTATAAATTATCTTGATACACTTGGTTTTTACAAAAATCATAAAGCATACAGGCATAAAAAACACTAAAAAAATATAAAATAAATAGGTAAAAATATTAGAATTTCAGAAAAAAAAAATGTTGGTTCAAACTTCCTTTAAATATTTATTTGAGTAAATCTAAAAAAGTTATAAAAGTATAAGTTATGTCATTTCAAAGTTATGACTACAAATGTGATAAAATACAAAACTTTTTAGATTAATTATTAAATAATTAATGTAAAAAATACTTTATACATTAGATAATTTAAATGTCACTTTTTATATTGGTTATTTTTTGAAATCAACATAAAATGTCACTTTCCTCGTGTATCACAACAACTTATCCGTACTTGATTTAGTCAATAACCTAAAACTTTTCTACCTGAAATGACCATAATTAATTTTCATACCTGTAAATTTAACATATATAAATAAAAAAATTAAAATATTCACAAATATATGTACCTTAATGCTGGTGGAAAAGTGATGATGATAGTGTCTAGAGGCCAATTGAGATATTTTGTACCATGTTCAAGATTGAAAGAGACAAACAACTTGTAATTTTAGTGAACGCATGACAAAGCTCACGATAAAGGGATCATAGAACAACAGAAACCTAACTATAGTTTGAAATTCCAATAAAATCAGTTAAAAGAGGTAGTTTTTTCATATGAACCTTAAATCCTGATTTATTTGGAAATAATAACAAGTCAAATAGAATTATTATGTATGCTTTATATAACAGATAATAGTATGTTCATCAACATTGTGAAGTAATGCTCCAAATGTATTTGAACCACTACAGTAGATTTACAAAAAATTCTCTTATGTCTCTTTTATCAATAATTGCTCCAAGTAAATCTCTACACAACACCCATATATTTCAATCATAAAATTTCTCTTACCTCGAGTGCATTCACTCAAAGGGAGTTCATTCACACATAAGCTAGATGAAACGCAATATTCTCCAAAGTGGTCATACATTCTATGCATAGAAGATGGAATGTGCGTGGTGAATAATGAATATATCAATTATAAAATATATTAATTAAAAATATATATTAATTAGAAATATATAATAAATAATTAAATTTAATTTATAATATAATAACTAACATTTACACATTTTTCTAAATATACAACTACAAAATTAATGATATATTAAATTAAATATGAAATAAAATTTAATTAAATATATTAAAAATTTAAATTACTTGTAATGACAACTTACTTGCAATAGAATCAACAAAATTAAGTTGATATAAATCACTATTCATCTTCTTTAGCTCCAATCATTTACATTATTTACTCTACTCGCTCTCACTTTCTCCGTTATTATTTCAGGCGATGTAAATAAATAGCTGAAAAAGTCAATTAAATTCGTTTCCAAAATGAAACTAAAGTTGATTTTAATCGATTTTTTTGTTCATAATGCAAGTCAATTATAAGTAACTTTTTTGGAATCGGCAAAAAAAAGGAAAGTCGACTTTAATTGACTTTAATGACTGTGGAACTCCATCGCACACAAATTGATTCAAATAGTTTTTATCTCTTGTTTGAAAAGTTATTTTCAATCAACTTCAATGTAACAAATTCAAAACATTCATGTGAATAAAATATTTTTAAAACACATTCTTAATTTTTAAATTTTTTTATTTACATAAAAAAAAACCTACTTTTTACTTCATTGTATATTTTTTTATTAATTAATTTATTTTGATACACAATACCGATAAGATATATTTTTCAATAGATCTAATGAAAATAAAATTTATAATAAATATTGATGATGAATATTAATAAATATTGAAATCATTGATTATAATAATATTTTATAATTTGGTTATTTTATAATTGACGTAAAAATTAATATATTTTATATTAATTGTTAAAAATAATATAAAAAGTCATGATTTATTATATAATTATATTTACATTGATTTTTAACTAATATTAAATATAATTTTTAATCAATATAAAAATAAATATTACAAAATTTAATAAAAAAATTATAATATATTTTTTTGTTAATAATTAAATTTTATTAGAAATTATAAAATCAAGTGTGCCACATAAACTCATAGTTTATGAAATGAGATTTACATAACCGGATCAACACGGAATAATAAGTATATTGAATGACATATTATTTAACTTGACTAGCAATGGAGTGTAACTTAAATGAATATCTTAAGAGTGAGGAAGTGATTGCCTGCGAGCAACTTCACTTGGGAGTTTTGGAGCTGCTCTTCAATCGATGCTCGAAACTCCCGACGATAGTCACGGCAGAATTTCAGAGGCACAGTAACGTGCAATTTGCATTGCGCACAAGCTGCTTGATGAACGTTCTCAAGAGAGCGTTGAAAAATATACACGTTTCGTTGCCTTCTTTGCTTCCATAGTCTTTAAAAATTTAAGATTTATTTGTTTATTTTTCTTTAATTTTTTTAATATAATTTCTGAAACGTGTTGTTAAGGATATCATATTTTGTTAGTTTTAAATTATAATATTATGATTTCTGAAATTAAAATTTAAAAGTATAAAAAATTAAAATATAAATGTCATCATGCAATCAATTCAATGTCGTATCAAATAATTAATATTACCTAACTAAATAAAAATAATAAATTATTAAACTGTAGATTTTCTTAAATCATGAATCTATAAATGCATGATGGTGTAATATAATAAAGTTTTCTAGAGGAACAAAACTCAAAATTTTTAATAATATTTGGCAAACTTATATTAGAGAGATCAGAGTTTGATTCCTGATATTATCGTCGGATTTTTGACAACTTGTGATCAAAAGTACGAAAAATAATGTCTTCCCCGCAAACTTGGTTTTTTGGTATGAGTATGCCCCCTAATTTTTTCGCAAATAAAGACAAAAATCAACGCTGCATCCCCATTGCTACCGTCAATAAATAATTCTGCTAATATCCAAACTAACATTTTCTACCAAAGCTGTCGGTGTGAGCCATTAAGGGACACTGCTTTATTCTTATCTTCCTAAGCCCCATAATTTAAATAAAACGTACACTTAAAAAAGTCTTAGCCTAAGTTAACATTTAACGGTACCCCACCTAATTTAATTATTTGTTAAATTAAAACAATTTTGTCCACATTAATTTGTACATTTAATGATAAAAAATAATAATATTCTCAACCGTGGTAAAAAATAATAAATTATTATTATTATTCATTGTCTGGGTTAGATAATATCTATGCTGTTTTTTCTTTTTTAAATTAACTTATGGATATTAAAGATGGATTGAAATGTGATTTTACTGGTTTTTGGTTAGTTTTCTCTAATTTTGAATAATAAGTTTATTGTTTTAATAATGGATGTGAGTAAATAAAACTAGTTTCATCGCCATTAGTTTAAAAAAATTAATTCATTTTCGTCATAAAATGTTACTGCTAAGATAATTTTGATAATAATAATAATGATGATTGCAATATCATTAATGACAACTACTCTATATTGAAAGCTAGATTTTGATTACAGTAAATTGGGCTAGTCATATTTTGTTTATATCTTATTTTAATTATAAAATCTAATCATTATTTATATAAATACGTTCATATGTATGTTATTAGGTAAAATACATTACTGCTTCTATTCTACTTCCTGCATTTTGCTTTTACGCATACACGTCTTTCTCAAAATTTTAGGAAACTACTTTAGGCATGAAAGTTTATAATCTAAGCATTATTCAACGTTATAACCTAAAATGACCCACCCTTTCTATTTGAAACATGCAAATATTCCATTAGAACGTTTTTTATTTTTATTTGTCGCAATGTCACTATAAATTTTGTAAAATGAGCTCAATTTAGAAATACGCATTTACCCAACAAAAGACTTGTATATATGTATATAAGTATTTCAGAAAACGCATTTTTGTGTAGATAACCAACAAATTAATTTTGTTTTAATCGTCTAATTTAAGTGTCTATATTAATTCACTGAATGCCCGTTTCAACTGTTAAATATATATTGTACCAAAGTCAAACTCGTAACATTCATTTTTATAAAAATTATTATACAAAACTTTTAGCTTATATATTTGTCTTTCTAAGAGTTGATTTTCCAAAATTTGTTTTTTCTTATCTATTATCTTGGATGATACAGGTTGAGGCCTCTGACTTCAATTCCCTGATGATGCTTGAAGACATAGTTGAAGCGACAAAATACCGTATGTGGAAATAGCTTTGCATATTTTCCTGTTCACTTTTTATATTATTTTGTCACCATCTTTTTTTCAACGACGGTACACAAATTTGTTAATATTTTGCATATTACCAAAAAGTTATTATTTGTTTATAGTTAAACAAAAAATCTACGTGGAAGAAATAAAAATTAATTAAAAAAAGGGGACCAAAGAAGAAAATTACACGAGGTGAATAAAATAAAGCAAGAATAAATAAATAATCTAAAATTGAAAACACATAATTGTATCGTGTTCTTGGTGGGTGCGAAATCGAGGGCTTTTCCTCTGTCTACTCTCTCCAAATATTCTCTGATTGCCTGCGAAATTGAAAACATGGATCTGTCGTCAGCATTGAATTGAGGTCCTAAGCTTTGCAGTTTCCGGGTATGTTTTCCTTGATTTCTGGTTATTGGATTGCGTGAGTTTCAGAATTCCTAGATCTTGTTTCATGTTTTGGTTATTGCACCTTCTACTTGAGGTTTAGCTTTTAAGGGAGCAAGAACTTCGGGGCTTTGCGTTTTGGATCTCGAGGTTTAGCTCTGACATCGAGGTTTCGAATTGTGAGGGGTGGAATCTGGGATTGTTTGAGCGTGTTTTTGGTGGGATCGAGGGGAATCGGTGAAGGGTTAGGGTTTTTGGCCGATGGCTTCGAATCCTCCATTTCATGTGGAGGATCAGACTGATGAGGATTTCTTTGATAAACTGGTTGAGGATGATATGGAGCCCTTTAATTCTGGCCATGATGAAGGGAATGATTCCGATGAGGCTAAAGCATTTGCGAACCTTGGCATCAGTGATGTTGATGCTACTGCATTTGAGAATTCTGATGATGCTGGTGAAAGTGGGGTTGAACTTAAAGGGGATTTGGGTACTGTGAAATCTGATGGGGGACTTGAACACGAGAGAAATTTGTTGCAATCATCTAGTTCAGTGGGAGGTGATAGTAAGATGGATCCTGGTGATGATGGGATTGGGGTGGGATCAGAATTCATGCCTGCCTCAGCTGCAAGCACGAGCGATAAAGTCACTAGTTCTGGGATTAAGGAGGTGGGTTGGAATTCTTTTCATGCTGATTCGAATGGAGGCATTGGGTTTGGTTCGTATTCTGACTTTTTCAGTGAGTTGGGAGATCAATCTGGCAATTTTCCAGGGAATGCGCATGATAATTTAAATGGTAACGTGAATCCTGGTAATGAAGTTCAGAATGATGGCTTAAATGCCTCAGTTAATTATGTGCAGTATCAAGATGGTCGAGGTTATGATGCATCTTTAGCAAATCACACAAACAAGCAAGTTGATGGCTTAAATACTTCAGTTAATTATGTACAATACCAAGAAGGTCAAGCTTATGATGCATCTTCAGAAAAGCACACCAATGGACAAGATCTGAGTAGTAGTCAGTATTGGGAGTATCTTTATCCTGGCTGGAAGTATGACCACAACACTGGGCAATGGTATCAAATAGATGGCTATAATGCAACAGCCACTACTCAGCAAAGCTCAGAAGCCAATACAGCTGTGGACTGGACTGCCCCTTCTGACGGGAAAGCAGAGATCTCTTACATGCAGCAAAGTTCTCAATCTGTTGCTGGAACTTTAGCTGAAACTAGCACAACGGAAAATGTATCTAGCTGGAGTCAGGTTTCACAAGGGAATACTGGGTATCCAGAGCATATGGTTTTTGATCCTCAGTATCCTGGTTGGTATTATGACACAATTGCCCAAGAATGGCAATCGTTGGAAACTTACAATTCAACCATTCAATCTTCTGTTCAGGGACTTGAAAATGGGCATGCTTCTACGAGTACTTTCTCACCAAATGATAATAGTTTGTATAGTGAATATAGCCAAGCTGTTAATTATGGATCACAGGGTGTTGATAGTCAGGCTGTAGATGGCAGCTGGGGTGGTTTGTATGGTGTTAACCAGCAGCAGGGGTTTGGCATGTACACAACTGAGACTGCAACTAAAATGGGGGATAATGTAGCTTCTGGTGGTAACCACCAAGCTAATCATTCATATGGTTCCAGCATTTCTGCAAACCATGATCAACAAAATACTTCTAGCTCCTTTGGATCAGTTGCATTGTACAATAAAGTAAACCATGATCATGGTTTGGCTAATGGAACTTTTGAGCCCCGAAGTTTTGGTGCCAGTGGGGACATTGTTCAACAGTTCAACTATTCAAAAACACAGTTTGGCGAACCAAAAAAATTCTCAAATGATTTTGCTGAAAATCAAAAGCCCTTTAGTTACTCCCCACAATCAATCCAGGGTGCACATCAATATTCATATGCCTCTCATGTTGGAAGATCATCTGCTGGACGTCCTGCTCATGCCCTGGTAACCTTTGGATTTGGCGGAAAACTTGTCATAATGAAAGATCCTAGTCCTCTAAGCTCATCATATGGAGGCCAGGTTAACTCTTGATCTCTCTTTTCATTTGTGATCCATGCATCTTCTGGTTTCTGAAGGCTTGGAGTTTACTTAATATTGTTTCCTTTTTATTCCTTACTTTCCTATCAGTGATTTCTTAAGATGATTAACACTGTATCTGCATTTATAACTGAAGGATTCTGTACAAGGTTCTGTTTCTGTATTGAACTTGGTAGAAGTTGTCACGGGTAGCATTGATTCTACGAGCACTGGAAATGGTACTGGTGATTATTTTCGTTGTCTGAGCCAGCAATCTTTCCCAGGTCCATTGGTTGGTGGGAGTGTTGGAAGTAAGGAACTGTACAAATGGTTAGATGAGAGGATTGCACACTGTGGATCACCTGACCTGGATTATAAGAAAGGTGAAAGATTGAGACTCCTCCTTTCCTTGCTTAAAATAGCTTGTCAACATTATGGGAAACTGCGTTCTCCTTTTGGCACAGACACCATACTAAAAGTAAGTTACGTTTATAGTCATTCAAATTCTCTTTTCCTCTTTTTATATCATTGCCAACTGCATTTGCTATACTATTCAAGGTTGATCAACATTCTATTTAGAGTTGTACTGTGCACAAGATTTTGCAACATTATCAACTATTGAGTTTAGGTTAACTTTCATCAATGCATTTTGGAGGTGTTCTATGTTTGTTATCCTGCAATGTTTCTATTATGTCAAGTAGATGATATTTGTCTTTAATTTCTCAACTTTTGAATCACTTATATTTTGGAACTGTTCATGACATTATAATTGTTTTGCAAATGGTTATTGTGCCCTATTCTCTTTTCTCTGGCTAAAAATCACTATTAACTTTACTTATTATGCCCCTTGATAGTCTGTGTTCTGAGTCATATTTCTTCCTAAATACTATTCCTCATGGATTACTTCCTGATTTGGTAACCTTTTGGGGTTTGTATTTAATACAGGAAAATGATACTCCTGAGTCAGCTGTTGCAAAACTTTTTGCATCTGCCAAGATGAGTGGCACTGAGTTCCCTCAATTTGGGATGCCGAGCCATTGCTTGCAAAATTTGCCTTCTGAGGGACAAATGAGGGTATGTACTTAACGCCAGACTCACACTCAAAACATTATTTTATAGTTTGATAGCCTTTACTGATTTTGATCTTGATCCAGGCAATGGCTTCTGAGGTTCAAAATCTTCTTGTCTCTGGAAAAAAGAAGGAGGCTTTACAATGTGCCCAAGAAGGACAATTGTGGGGACCTGCACTTGTTCTTGCCTCGCAACTTGGTGATCAGGTCAGATGCCAATTTTTCTGACTGTTTAGTACTGTGCAGATGCTTCATGATTGGGGTAGACAGTGTATTTGGATCTTACAGTTTTTTCCTCGTATTGCCTTTTGACGTGGGATGGATTTGGTTCATATTTTTCTTGCAGTTCTATGTTGATACAGTGAAGCAAATGGCACTTCACCAGCTGGTTGCAGGGTCACCTTTGCGCACATTATGCCTTCTAATTGCGGGGCAACCAGCTGAAGTATTCTCTACTGATACCTCAATTAGTGGGCTTCCTGGTGCTTCCAACATGCCTCAACAATCTCCACAGGTAATTCTAGTAGGATAAACTAAGAAGCCATGTGAGGTATATGCAATCCAGATGCTTTGTTACATACTTTATATATATTGGTTCAACCTTTGCAAAGATGTTCAGTTTCTATTTGATTTGGAAGCTCAAAATTTTGTTGTTGCTTTGCCATTTCAGGTTGGAACCAATGGTATGCTTGATGATTGGGAGGAGAATCTGGCTGTAATTACTGCAAACAGAACCAAAGGTGATGAACTTGTAATCATTCACCTTGGTGATTGCTTGTGGAAGGAAAGAAGTGAGGTACCTTTTCAATCTTTCATTTATTCTTTTTTTTATTTTTTCAGTTTTCCATTCTGCTTCTGATATAAGAGTCTTATTTTAGATTACTGCTGCACACATCTGCTATTTAGTTGCTGAAGCAAATTTTGAGTCATACTCAGACAGTGCAAGACTCTGTCTATTAGGAGCAGATCACTGGACATGTCCCCGAACTTATGCTAGTCCCGAGGCTATCCAGGTAATTTGAACTAACTCTAGTTCTTTAATTGCTTCTTACACAAAATTCGGCTTTTCTGTTGCATGTACATGTTGAGTCCTTTTCTGACAAAATAGTGTACACTGTGTCTATCTGTCAATAGTTGTTTTGCTTCATCTGAGTTTTTCTGGTTGCCAATAGTTCAGGTTTCTGGAATTTGGCCAGACTCAGACTAAACTGTTGCCAATTCTGTACTATATTTGTCTATATGCTCAAAAGATTACATTTGCTTTTCCAATTATCTGTCCACTCCGAGGTTTATCTTCAAATGAAATAATGGTTTTTGTATTCAACCTTTTGTTTTGTAAGTTTTTTAAATAACCAATCTCCTCTTGTCATATTTGTTCCACCTCAGGATATGTTGCTTCCTAAAATGAACATGTTTAATATGATTCAATATGTTGCATGTTGTGTTGCTTGAATAACTCAAAACTTATCTTACCTGATGGCTACTTGGACAGAGGACCGAGTTATATGAATATTCGAAGGTGGTTGGAAACTCTCAGTTTACTCTGCACCCATTTCAACCGTATAAGCTTATATATGCATATATGCTAGCTGAAGTGGGAAAGGTTTCTGACTCATTGAAGTAAGTTCATGTAACATTATTTTGTTTGTGATATTATTCTTTATACTACCAGGCTTATTATTGTTTGATTTCAGGTACTGCCAAGCATTACTGAAATCCTTGAAAACTGGTCGTGCTCCAGAAGTAGAAACATGGAAACAGTTAGCATTATCTCTTGAGGAGAGAATTAGAACTCACCAACAGGTACTTCCTTGTCCTTTATTGAATTTTCATTGTTTTATACTCTTGATATTTGTCATCTTGTTTAATAAATTTATGTTCAGGGTGGATATGCTGCAAATTTGGCTCCTGCAAAATTAGTTGGCAAATTGCTCAACTTTTTTGATAGTACCGCACATCGAGTTGTTGGTGGTTTACCGCCACCGCCCCCTGCTCCATTATCATCACAAGCAACTGTTAATGGAAGTGAACAACCTTATCAGAATATGGCACCCAGAGTATCCTCCAGCCAGTCAACAATGGCCATGTCATCGTTAATCCCATCTGCTTCAATGGAACCCATAAGTGGGTGGACAGCTGACAATAATAGAATGGCAAAGCCTAATAGAAGTGTTTCAGAGCCTGATATTGGTAGAACCCCAAGACAGGTGTGTGACTACTATGAAAGGTGTACTGTGAAAAATCTTCTCCTTCCTTCCTGTGCATGTTTTTGGTCATTTAGAATCTATTATAGTTAAACTTCATGAAAAATTCTGGTTGATTTACCACAGGAAACAACCTCTCCTAATGCACAAGGAAAAGCACAAGTGTCAGGGGGTACATCTCGCTTTTCCCGTTTTGGTTTTGGCTCACAACTTTTGCAAAAGACTGTAGGGCTAGTCTTGAGACCTCGCTCTGGTCGACAGGTATCATTAATTGTTTTATATTTTGTTTTATTTTTTTATTCATGACTGTGCCTATTCAAAAGATTCTTATTCTCTTTATGTAGGCTAAATTGGGTGAGAAAAACAAGTTCTATTATGATGAAAAGCTGAAGAGATGGGTGGAAGAAGGTGCTGAACTGCCAACTGAAGAAGCTGCACTGCCGCCACCACCAACAACTGCTGCTTTCCAGAATGGTTCAACTGAATACAACTTGAAATCTGCATTGAAGACTGAAAGTTCACCTCCTATTGAAGGCCCTAACTTGAGAACTTCTAGCCCTGAACTTAGTCCAGGGATGCCACCGATGCCACCCAGCTCAAATCAATTCTCTGCCCGGGGTCGTTTGGGTGTTCGGGCAAGGTAACAGTGTGTTTTTAAATTTTGTTAAGACCATTTATATTCTATAATTGCATGTAGGAGTCAACTTTGTTTTTTGTAACTAAATTGTCAGGTGTTAATCACTGTAAAGTGGACCTCCAATTGTTTTCTTTATTACATTATAAAATTTGAAATTGAAGACCTTTCAAAAACTGTAAGAATTGTAGCACCTAAAAAAGGCTGAGCTAGCATAGTAGTGTAATTTATCTTTTCTTTTATTAGGCTTTGTTAGCTAGCATATTGAGGATTGTCTTGTAGGCCTAACTAAAATGTATCTTAGAATTCTGGCTATTTTGTGCGCTCAGCTCTGCTTCCAGAAACAAGAGGAAGATTTTGTTATTTATCAGTCTATCATATCATCAACAGAATCTGAAAGGCAAATAATATTGATGAAACTGTTTTATGGTCTATACAGGTATGTTGACACCTTCAACCATGGTGGTGGAAGCTCACCCAACTTGTTTCAATCCCCTTCTGTTCCATCTGTGAAACCTGCTCTTGCTGCCAATGCAAAGTTTTTCATTCCTACTCCCGCACCATCGTCAAATGAGCAGACTATGGAGGCTATTGCTGAAACCAATCAAGAAGATAGTGTAGCAAATGAAGATCCTTCCACATCTGCCACGAATGATTGGTCGTACCAATCCCCCAAACAAGCATTGCCAATAGGCATGCAAAGGTTTCCAAGCATGGGTAACATCCCAAAACAAGGAGCGAAGGGAGGCAATAACTCTAATTTTGCTCATTCACGTAGAGCAGCTTCATGGAGCGGGAGTTTTAATGATTCATTTAGCCCTCCAAAAATGGGTGAAATCAAGCCTCTAGGGGAAGCTTTGGGCATGCCACCGTCAACATATATGCCTGATCAGTCTTTAATGCATACACCTATGAAAAGTAGCAGTTTTGGGGAAGATCTTCAAGAGGTTGAACTTTGAGCAGATGCTCAAGCTGTAAATATCAAATTTTGTTTTTAATCATCAGAATAGTTGGGACGCCCCTGCTTCTGCAGCATTTCTAATGATGTATGGAATAGTGGTACACATCAGATGGAGTTCACACAGAAACGGCAGATATCTATCACTATCCCCCTCCTCCCTTCCCAACCTCGTTTTAGTATTTCAAGTTCCCAACCTGGTGATGTATCATTAAATGTGGTCGGCTCACTTGATAGTGTGTGTTTTGTTTTTTATGCCAAAGGAAGTTGACACTGGCCACCATCTCAGGATTATGGAACTGGTGTCTTTTATAGCAGAGGATAGGACCACCTGCTTAGGTGAGTAGTACAACCCATTTGTTCATTTTATTAAACAGGAAAACGCCCCATGAGGAAAGAAGATGGCCTCTACAGATCAAGGACGAAAGAATAGTTTATGGAACTGTGAAATATAATTTTGTTCCATTTGTATTTGTTTCAGTTATTAAATGATATTAAATTTCTAAATATAGTCTTCTGTCTCAATTAGAAGCTCTTTTTTAGTTCACATTTATAAATGACAAAATGATGGGGCAAGATTTGCATGCTGTTGATTTTTTCACAATGCTTAAGAGGCCCAAGTTTTAAGTGTCTCCCTACATCCTAATTTAGTGGGCCTATCTATTGCAATTATCCCAGTCACCGATGATTGTTCAATGGGTAGCGATTGATAGTTAAAAGAAAGCATGAACACTTTTCGGCGGTCAGGGTATGACCGTTCCCTTTTCACTGCATATTAATATGCACATATATTTTGTTATCATTGTATTTCATTTATTGTAGATAACTTATCAACTGCAATAGAGAACCTAGAATTATAAACGTGTATATGAAACTATTTGCGATCCTAGTCAATTTGAAGATAGAAATTCATTGGCTTAGTTTTGTAAATAAAATTTAAGCTGTATTCTTGTATAGAAAAGCCAGAAATCGGATTAACTCATTATAAGCTCGGCTCATCTGCACCTAAAATATGCAAGAGCAACAACATTGATAATACAAAAAATCATTTACGACACTAAAATGGAAGCAAATATCGGTATGGCATGTATCTTGAAACACAAACAATGGGAATGGTTAACAAAGTAATTGGTGGTATTCATTTTAAAGAACTTCTGTTAAAAACCACCCATTTATAATTTAATCAAATTTTGATTATTACAATGGTGTTGTATGTTTTTAATTTTGATTTTTACATCATTAAGTAAGTTTGAATTTAAAATTATAGGCTAATCAAACCTACTTGAACTTATATTACTAGCTTATACAATTTTATTTATTGATATTTAAGACTCATTTAGTAGGATAAGATAAAAATGTTAGATAAGAATAGGATAGAATAATAGTACGATAAATATTTATCATATTCAATGTTTGATGCAGATTTAATAGAAAGAATGATATAATATAATTATGCAAAAAATGATAAAATTATCTTTTTTATCTATATTTATTAAATTAAATTTTAAATTTTTACTGTGTTTAAGTTATTTGTTTTTAATTTATTAAAAATATATAAATAATTTAATATATTTTTTAATTTTTTATATATTTTTAAAGACATAAAGATAGAATGGAGAGATAATAGAATAAATTAAAGATATTTTAAAAAAACAGTTATTATCTTTTTCTTTCTCTTTTAACCTTTAGAATAAAAATTATATTAGTCTAATAGAATATGCTAATTAATAAGATAAATTAATTATATTCTTATAATTTAATATATACTTAATTAAAAATAAGCTATTCTATCACATGTACTTTAAAAAATGTTATCCTATCCTATTTATCTTTATTCTTGTCACAAAATAGAATCTTAATGATATTATAAAATTTTTACTTTTCTTTTTATTGTTATAATTTCTTTTTCACTATCTTGTATAAATTGTTTATTCTCATATTTTAAAGGAAACAAAATGAAAGTAAAACTCTTTTCACCCAGGCCTAGGTCCATCTCTTCGGTGAAGTGAATAGGTAAAAGTAATGAATTGGACCAGAAAAAATGAAAGGGGAAGGCCCATCTACTCTTGAGTTTTCATATAATTATAAGCCCACAACCCTAACCCTAAATCCTAACAATACTAATAGCAGAACTCATCGGGGCTCTGGTTTGGTACGTGCAGCCGCAGCAAGTGATCGAGAGAGAGGAAAAGGGAGAGTAATTAGCAGAGAAATTCAGCGTCGCAGTTATGGGTATGTTGAGTTACTTTGGATTGAACGAGGCACGAAACTGTTCCCCTTTTGTTGATAATGAATAATATCGTTTGGTGCAGGTAAGGTTCACGGATCACTTGCTCGTGCCGGCAAAGTTAGAGGCCAAACCCCCAAAGTGGCGAAGCAAGACAAGAAGAAGAAACCACGTGGCCGTGCCCACAAGAGGATGCAATACAACCGCCGGTTCGTCACCGCCGGTATTCCTCTAAACCCTAACTTATGTTTCTTTCACATTTTAGATAAGCAGTAAATATTGCGGAAATTTTTTTTTTGTCTCTGATGTGAAATTTTACTTTGCGTGATTGCAGTGGTGGGATTCGGCAAGAAGAGGGGACCCAACTCATCCGAGAAGTGAGGCTAAGACTTGAAGAATGCTACTTCTTAACTCTTAAAACATGTTACGACTCTTTATTTGCTTTTTTTTTTCTTTTATCTAAGTTAATGTATTGATTTTGTTCTGTGAACGGTTTTCTCGTTAGCTTTATGTGAAACTTGAGTTTTTGCAAACAATTGTTATCCTCTTTTTAAGTTTATTGCTCGGTTTAATTGGGAAAACAAATATAGTGGGTTTCGGCTTGTACTTCAGCTATATTTGTTTTTGCTTTAACTTTACCAACGTCACTGATGCTGTTCAAACAAAGCCCATGTGTAGACAGGGAATTTATTATCTTAGCGTTATGGTTTTTGCAATCAGAGCCTTTATGTTCTGCCCCCATTTTGAGTTTGACCAGGTGAGTTATGCTTTGTGAGTGTTACACCTGGTGGAAGCTTGAAATTTAAGTTTCTAGCAACTTTCAATGTCGTATCATGTCATGTGTCTGTAGGAAGGTCGATAAGTATATTAACCTTATGGAAATTGCTAGTCAGTAGTGCATCAGTCCGTTGGATGCATTGGTGGTGGGTTGTATTTAGCAGTAGAGAATATCATGTTACCTCCTGGGTATGTCACTCGTCGGTCAACTTTTTCTTTTTGTTTTGAGCTCCTTTCAACCATTTGATGGGTTATTATTAGGTTTTGCATGGTAAACCTAGCTGCAAGTTTTCAGAAGCTTATATATTTGTAGTAGTCAGTTGATTGAATTGGTGCAGGCTGATAAAACTAGCTGGATAACTATTTAAAACGTGTTAAATGATTAAAAAGGATATATGATATTATATTAATATAATATAAAGATTTAAGAATAAATATCACTTATTTTGCTTATTTATTATCAGCCATTTAATTAAATAGTTAAATATTTATTTATATATTCATTATTAACCAATTATTTCAATAATAAAAATCAAATTATTTTCCTTGGATATATTTTTTGAAGTAAATGTAAAAAGAAGTTTTCCTTGGATATATTTTTTGAAGTAAATGTAAAAAGAAGTTAATTGTTGGTAACTAGCTTTTGGAAGCTAAATGCTATATGTTGTAATTTCCTTCCTTTTTTTATGGTCATTTCTGATTTCTTCGAGTAACTTTCTGAAGCAAGTTTTCTAGTTTATTGACTCAGTTAAAAGCTATAAGCTTGTATTACTAAACACTGTTGTTGTGATCAATTGCCTTAAGTTTGTCAAGATTTGTAATCACACTATGAGGCACTTGTGATCTGCTACATCCCCTAAACAGTGTTTAACTTAGAATAATAATCTATGAAGTCTAGATACTTAGTAAGATACAGATACGGGATATGGAAAAAATTTGAATTTCAATTAGATATGATAACATGAATCTAAAGAAATAACATACTTTATACAAAATATTTATAAAGAGGTATTGATAATTTATTTATATTAATGTGTTATATTTGAATATCAATCATTACATTTTACAAAAAAACACATGAAATTATATTTTTTCTTTGTTTAAGTAATTTAGTTAAAATATTTTTCATACTATAAACACACAAAAATTACATACTTTACTCTCTTATTTAAATTAGAATTTCATAAAAAAATTAGTAGTTCTATCTAAAGAAATATAGAAATATCACAAAAAGAAGCTTCTGCTTTTATTCTATTAAATTTTATCTAAACTGAATCAAATGATTAGGAGCTATATTTCAGTTGGATTAGGTTAAAAATTAATTTTTAAAAATAAATTAAACTATAAATGCTTACTCGGACACGTTTGCAGTTTTGAAGTATCTGGACTTCATAAATAATGAATTGTATAAAACAGATAACATCACTCCCTTGTATGATCTTTTGATCATTGGTAATGAATTGTATATAACAGATAACACTACTCACTTGCATGATCTTTTGATCATTGGTCTCTGCACGTACTATTGATATGCCAATTTCATCAACTTTCTGAGATTTTAGCTTAGTTTACTTTGGCTTTGAAAAATAATTATTTATGTCAACTTTCTAATACAGTTTTTGAAAATTACAGGATTTATTTCTGGCTTGGAAACATAATCTCTTTGCAAAATCACTTATTTAGTCCTTTTTTTTTGTTTAACATGGCTTATTAGATGTGTTTTTCAATATAGATCTTGTGTCTTCAATTATGTTTGTTGTATTAGTTATAATTGAAATCTTTTACTTCAGGATTTAAAGATTCAATCAGTAACTTGTGTTTTGTTAAAAACCCAGTTGGAAGCTTTAATGTTAACAGAAAATTAGCTACAAGTAATTGAGGCCGCAAAGTATATTCTCTACTTGTGTTCTATTTCTTCAATTTAACTTTTGTCTATCTTTCATTCCAGGATCTAGTGTCAGTATTTTATTTGGTATTTTAGTCGTAAATCTGCTTTGGAGACTATGGTATGCAAATTGCCAAATTCCTGATAAGATCTCACGATTTCACAATTTATCGTGTTACCGGCTGTGGGATTGCGCGATCAGTGGTATCCGACGATTCCACTTTTTAACACTAAGCTAATTTGCGGTGAAAAAGAATCACACTACTTAGTAAGATCCACTTTGAAAATGCCCTACTACGTTGTTCCCTTAATTTTGACTCTGGTTCTCATTATGGAAAGCAAATGTGACAGTCCGCGAAGGTTTGGTTCGGGTGAGTGATTCCTACGTCGATGGTTTCGTGGTCCAATTAAGCATCAATGGTGGCCTCTAATGTGTTGTCTCCAAAAGGGTAGAGCAGAAAAAGACGAACCCAGAAAAGTCAAATTACGGGGAGAAGGGTAAACCAAAGTTAAATTATCACTCCTTTGTATCAACTATAACCATTCCGTAGGTTGACGGGAGCAGTCAGTCCACATAATTCTTGAAGAGTTATATTCCATCCTTTTTTTTAACTATTCATTATCTCTTAATATAATTGGTTATTTTTAACAATTTATGTAATTATTGCTATGCTGGGAAAAAGAGAACGATATCTAAAATGGTTGGAGAATCATTCAATCACTCATTTCGGGATTAGACTTTACGAGACATGCATGCATTACAAATAAAAATGTCATACGGAAAGCGCTCAACGTTTGAATTTTTTTGTTAAGATAATCTTTGTCTGATAAAAATTAAATATTTAATGCCAACATTATAGATTTACATAAACATTATTAATGTATTGTGAGATACACAAGCATAGTTTGATTAAGGTAATTTTCATGTAGTGATGGGGAATTGCGCAAGAAAAAGCACTACCAGAGGTTAAAGTGAGAGATAGATAAATAGAAATATATGATCATGATAATGTGATGGGGATATAACAAATTAGCTGTGAAGCACAAACCACCTTACGGAAAGAAGAATATGAACGTTTTATCAAGCTAATGTTCATCTTGGAAATGTCAAGAATGTGGACAACAACGGAACGTTTTTGTCCTGAAGCTCGCTCCTGATTTTACTTGCCAATCTTGTTCCCCTGGATATTCCTTATGGATCATTGAATCTCTATTTAATTACTTATTTTAAAATACAAGTACACAACGTCCATGCTTTCACGTGAATTTTGCTTTTTTTTAGAATTTCTTATAAAATTTATAATAAGTTATAATCAATTGTGATTTTTTATTTTGTCAAGAACAGGCTAATATTGTGATCCATTTAATGATATTTAAGCCTGCTAATAATGTGATCAATTATTTGAGTCTTAAACACTTAATATTGATCTAGAGTAGAATTCAGTATGGGCCTAACCTTTAGGTCCATAATGAAAAGTGCCTAGGGTTAATAAATATAGTGGTTAAGTCCATTTGCCGTCACAGTAACATTCCATTGCTCTCTATGTTTGACTCATTGAGAACCTAGGATTAGGAGAGCGTAATTAAGCAAAGGAAGTTCTTAGCTTCTCACTACAAAGGGATCGCATTCCACGTAAGTCCACGCATAATCAACAATGTTTATAACAAGTAAGTGACTTTACAAATTGTTGGTTTCAATTGATATTCTAAATTCATGTAATTAAATCCCATTAAATTTGTGCTTACATTTGGTATCAGAGCTTAAATTACATGATTTGGAATTCAGTTATTAACATTTAATTAATCTAAATTTGAATTAAACCATGCGTAATATATCGTTTTCTTTTGGTGTGATGTTTTAATAGTTCAATATTATTTGCATAGTTAATATATTACCTATTTGCATTTGACATACAAACAATGCTTGTATTCAGTTATGTTTCAATTGTTTATCTATTGAATTACTATCTATTTGCTCGGATGATGTTTAATTCCTAAATTTAAACCAATTTTGATTTTAAATCTAAAATTGAATTGTTGCCGCCCCTAATCTATTTGTTGAAACGAATGGATTTAAAATTCACATTGAATAATATTTCGCTGCCATCATTATTTTTCCGTTAAAATATTAATATTTTAATATCTAATATTTTAACGTCTTTATTTCAATCGTTGCGCCAATATCTAATATTTCAACACTTTTATTTCAATTGCTCGACATTGCTCCCAGTGTATTGAACAATTGCTTGACGTTATAATACTTAATGCAACAACGCCTTTTAATATGAATAAGTTATGTTTGTTTGCTGTTTCAATATGAATATTACGTTTGCTTGCTGTTTTTATTTTCAATACAAGCTATTACAATTCAAATGCTTATTCCGAATGTTTATTTCAATTGTATTGTTATCATTTATGTTTGGTAAGATATTCTATCTCACATATACTTGCATTATAATTAATGAGATTACGATTACTCATTATTCAAATTTCTACTGTTATAAATTCATCAATAATTTTTTAATTATTATTGTTTAAGTATAAACATGTTGTGAATGTAATTGATGATTAAAGAACAACTTTGATGCATTCTTCTGTTTCATAACTTGGACAAGAGAATATTAATTCCTGTGCAAATGAATTTTGTGGATTGCTATAAATCGTTACCACCAAAATGGGACCATTTATATTGGTTTGTAAATTTTTTTTTTGTAATTTGAGGAATGTTTTTAATCTTTATATGTGATTGCTTGCCCAAAGGGGGTAGTTATGTGTATAGGTTGAAAATTGAATTTGGATGGAGTTATTGGAAAATGCATTAAGTTGAGAGATTTGTTTGCCCAAAGGGGACAATTTTCTTAGCTTGGTGTGTTCATGGATTAACCCACCTGAGGTATTGACCTCAGTAATCACTCTGGTTAGTGTATTCTACCCAAAAGAGAATATGTTATTTTATGAGCCTCACTTTGATAGCTTTTTTTTTATTTTTATCTTGAGCTATATCTTGTCTTATGATATGATCTAATGCATTAATGTTTTATCTTATCAGTGAATTTTTCTATGAATAATTGTTCTGCATCCATTGAGATCCTAATTGGGTCAAACTATAGCAAGTGGGAACAAGATTTGGACTTCTCTTTGAGAATTGCTGATCTTGACTTAGCTTTGCGTGAGAGTAAGCCCACAATTAATGCAGACAACACACCTGAACAAAAAGAGCGTTTAGCTCAGTGGGAGAGGTCTGACAGGTTGAGCCTAATCACTATCAAGAGAACAGTCTCTGAACACCTTTTGAGTGGTCTTCCGGAGAAAGGTACAGCCAAGGAGTTTCTCACTGCTTTGGGAGAGAGGTACCAAGTATCTGATAACGCTGAGTCTATATGTCTAATGAAACAGTTGACAAACATGAGATATGACAATGTTGGAGGTGTAAGGGAGTTCATTATGAAGATGGTCCACGTTCAAACCAAGCTGAAATCTCACCACATTGACCTTAATGAAGAATTTATTGTTGAACATGCCTTAAATTGCCTATCTGCTTATTTTACCCAAATCAAAACTGCCCATAATACCATTGGTGCAAATTAGAGTGTGAACGACCTAATTACCAAGTGTGTTGTTGAGGAAGAGAAACTTAAGAAAGAAAAGAGTGACATAGCCCTTTTATCTGTCCATAGTAAACCTACTTCTGGCAAGGGAAATTGGAAAAAATGTAAATAGGTCTTCTAATGCTTCTCATCAATATCAAGGTTCAGAAAAACTAAGTAAGAGTCAATGCCACAATGTAGGAGGACCTAAACTAACAGTCTTTAAGAAGAATATTTGGTGTTTTTGGTGTAAAAAGAAAGGACATAAGAAATTCGATTGTGAAAAGTTCAAGGCTTGGATAAAGAATAATAACAAATCTGAAGGTAATTGTCTAGCTCTTATCTGTTATGAATCCAATCTAGTTGATATTCCTATAGACTCTTGGTGGATTGATAGTGGTTAGGGATGACAATGGGTAAAGTACCAGATGGGCACCCGCAAAATTTACCTACAATGGGTAGGGTATTTACCCGCTATACGGGTACGAGTATGGGTGTGGGTAAAAACCCGCAAATTTTAATGGGGATGGGTGCGGGTATGGGTATCTAAGTACCCACCCCGCCCCATACCCGCATATGTATATATATATATATATATATATATATATATATATATATGTGCTTAAACTTTATTCTACAATTATGAATTGAATTTTTGTATTATTATATTACTTATGTGAAGTTATATAAGATTAATATAAAAATATATTTAATAATAAAGTAAACCAAAAAATTTATTTTGGTTTATATTTTTAATAGAAAAATTTATCTACTATTTTATATCATTTAATTAGGCTAACACAATTTAATTATTACATAGTTAATATGAGATTGACTTTTTTTTAAAATATTATTTATATATGACACACATAAAATATTTTTTACACAAATATTTTTGTTAATAAAATAATATTGATGTTTAAATCATAAAGTGAATGATAAATAATAAATATATTATAAATATTTATAAATTTTACAATCACCAACTATTACCGTAAACTTATTATTTATTAATAATATTTAAATTTTATTTTTATATTTTAATTTAAAATAATATTTTTCTATGCAACATATGTATTACAAGAACAACTATAATCTATTGAATCTAAATAATATTATTCTTACTATTTATTCACATTCAAAGAAGTTTTTGAAAAGATATAAATATAAAAAATTATTATTAATTTTTATTTGTTAATTTTTTTAAGATAAAAAAGTATAATTTTTTTAATATACACGTATATTTCTTTATTATAAAATTTTATTGTAACTATTTATCTTTTATTCAATTTTTTTTAAATTTATATACATTATAAATATTTAATTCACTAAAATATTTTTCAAAAATTTATATTTAATTCACTAAAATAATAGTATTAATATATATATATATATATATATATATTAATTATATTATATTATTTTAATTAAATCTATTATTTTTCTTACAATTTCAAATTCAAAAGTTAAAAAAAATATTTTATGTATCAACTTTCTATTGTTAGTATTGAACTTCTCTACTCTAACTCTATTCTCATTCTCAATGTCTGTCTCACTAAAACTTAATAACTATGAAATGTTATTCATTAGAGTTAGTTGTTAATGCCGTCACAAGAGGTTACTAAGTGATCCCACACGAAGGGACAACCATTGTACAGATCTATTTCGTTGTCGTTCTGACATTACCAATCAATCAAATCTCACACAAGATAGGATTATTACTGACAAATAACTTGTGTGTTTAGTTTTGCTTATTGTTTCTAAGAATTTTAGTTTAGAAAATTATTATATTAAGATACATTTAACATTTATGATCTTTGAATATTTGTTTTTTATCTATATTTGTACCTTGTTCGACAACTACATATTGAATTTTTGTATTATTATGCTACTTATGTGAAATTATATAAACATATTTTCCTTTATAAATATTTTTTTCTCAAACAAGCGCGGGTAATGGGTACAAGACGGGTATGCGGGTATCCAGAGGGTACAGGTACGGGGATTAATGTTTATACCCACGCGGGTATGGGTCTGGGTACGGGTATTTTTTTAAAACGCAGGTATGGGGATGGGTACTATAGTACCCTACCCATTGCCATCCCTAAGTGGTTCCACAACTCATATTGCTATATCTTTACAGGGGTTCAAAATCTGAGGGAGCCCAATTTGAGGGAAAACAAGCTCAGGGTAGGAAGTGATCTTGAAGTCTTAGTGGAGAAAGTGGGAGATGTCAGTTTAGTTATAAGTTGTGGATTTGAGTTGATTTTGAATAATACATTTTATGTACCCTCTTTTAGAAGAAATTTGATTTCTATTTCTCGTTTGGATGAACTTAGTTTTAATTTTATTTTTGGAGATAGAAAGATAAATTTGACATTAAACTCTCAAATTGTTGGTTATGGACTTTTAGTTAATGGTTTATATAAATTGTCTTTAGCTTCTGATGATACTTCTTATCTTTAGTCGTTGAAAATTGTGTTGCTAAAAGATCTAAGGTTGAGGAAAAATCCTTAATGTTGTGGCACAAACGTCTAGGTCATATTTCTAAGCAAAGAGTTGAAAGGTTGACAAAGACAAATATACTACCTTCATTGAATTTTGATGATTTAGAAACTTGTGTACGTTACATTAGGGGAAAATTTACTAAGACGAAAAAGAAAGGTGCAATTAGGAGTACAAATCTCTTAGAGATCATTCACACTGACATCAGTGGGCCTCTAATTCCTACAATTTGTGGTAAAACTTATTTCATTATATTTATTGATGATTTTTCCCGACATGGATATCTTTATTTAATTAAAGAAAAGTCTGAAGCACTTGAAAATTTTAAAATATTTAAGACAGGTAAAAAAAACAATTAGGAAAAATGATTAAAATTGTAAGATCTGATCGTGGTGAAGAGTAGTTTGGTAGGTATGGTATTATAGGACAACATATGGGACTGTTTGCCTTATATCTGTAAGAATGTGGAATAGTTCCATAATACACCATGCCTGATAGTCCTGAACAAAATGGTGTAGCTGAAAGACGCAATAGGACACTTAAAGATATGATGAGAAGTATGATGAGTGAATGTAACTTGCCAGAATTTTTGTGGGGTGAAGCCTTAAAAATGGCCCTTTATATTCTTAATAGAGTTCCTAGTAAATCTGTTCCCAAAACACCTTTTGAACTGTGGACAGGAAGAAAGCCAAGTTTGAATCATCTTTGAGTATTGGGGTGTCTAGCTGAAGTAAAATTTATAATCCCTTGCAGAGAAAAACAGACCCCAAGACAAGTTGTTGCTTTTTCATTAGATATCCGGATCGCGCTAAAGGATACAGGTTCTTCTGTTCTGGTAAGGAGAGAAAAATAATAGAGTCCATGAATGCCAAGTTCTTGGAGCTTGATGTAGCTGATCATGTTGAAATATTCAAAGAGACTGATGTTTTGTTACCTACGACTATTGCCTTGTCACTGCCTGTTTCTGAAATTGGCATCCCAACAATTGTTCCTAATGAGGCTGAGGTTCAAAATGTTCCAATTGAAAATAAAAATTTGATTCAAGACGCAACTGCTCCTCAAATTAATAATGTGTGTGATCCCCCTGCTGCAGTGGATATTCCACAGCCTATTCAGCCAATAGCACAAATTCCTTTGAGAAGATCAACTAGAGAGAGAAGATCTGCTATTGGTAATGATTTTGTGGTGTATCTTAGTGAGGATGCATACGACATTAGAGACATTGTTGACCCAAAGAACTATCAAGAAGCTGTATCTTGTCTGCAATCTGAGATGTGAAAGCATGCGATGAATGAAGAAATACAGTCCATGTTGGTAAATGATGTATAAGAGCTTGTTGAGTTGCCTAAAATTGCAAGACAGTTGGTTGTAAATGGGTATTCAAGACGAAGAAGAACTCAAATGGTAAGATTGAGAGATTCAAAGCAAGACTGGTGGCCAAAGGTTTCACACAAAAGGAAGGAATTGACTTTAAAGAAACTTTTTCGCCTGTGTCAAGCAAGGACTCCTTCAGGATCATCATGGCACTAGTTGCTCACTTTGATTTAGAGCTGCATCAAATGGATGTAAAGACTACTTTTCTGAATGGTGAATTAAATGAGACAATATACATGCAATAACCAGAGGGTTTCCACATTGATGATGGTAAGAACTTGGTCTGTAGACTCAAAAGATCAATCTATGGTTTAAAACAAGCCTCTAGACAGTGGTATCTGAAATTTGATGAAGTGGTGACTTCTATAGGGTTTGAGGAGAATAAAGTTGATCATTGTATATATACCTCAAGGTCAGTGGGAGCAAATTTATCTTCCTCGTGCTATATGTGGATGATATATTATTGGCTTGTAATGATTTGGGCATGTTACATGAGACAAAACAGATGTTGACCCGATTCTTTGACATGAAGGATTTGGGTGAAGCTTCTTTTGTGTTGGGAATTGAGATTCACAGAGATAGATCACAACGTACACTGGGGTTATCTCAAAAGGCTTATATTGATAGAGTCTTAGAGAGATTCAATATGCAGAACTGTAAATCATGAGATGTTCCAGTTGTTAAAGGTGATAGGCTCAACAAGGATCAATGTCCTAAGAATGAGATTGAGCAAGCAGAAATGAATGACAGACCTTTTGCAAGCGCATTAGGAAGTTTCATGTATGCTCAAGTATGCACTAGACCTGACATTGCTTTCATTGTTGGTGTTCTAGGTAGATATCAATCAAATCCTGGAAGTGATCACTAGATAGCTGCTAAGAAAGTAATGAGATACTTGAAGAAGACAAAAGAGTATATGCTTATATATAATAGAGTAGACAACCTTGAGATTGTGGGATACATAGATTCAAATCTTGGCGGGTGTCCTGATGACAGAAAATCGACTTCAGGATATGTTTTTATGATGGTTCTAGGTGCAATATCCTGGAGGAGCAAGAAACAAACTCTCGTTGCCTCTTCTACCATGCAGGTAGAGTTCATTGCTTGTTATGAAGCTGCTACTCATGCTATTTGGTTGAGAAATCTAGTAATAGGACTTCGTATTGTGGATACCATTGTTGCACCACTAAAGATTTTTTGTGACAACAGAGCTGCAGTATTTTATACAAAGAATAATAAGATTTTTAGTAGATCTAAACATTTGGAGTTGAAGTACTTGACTATCAGAGACCTTGTGAAAGATGGTTCCATTGTGATAGAGCACATTGACACAGATTCCATGTTAGCTGACCCCTTGACCAAGGGACTTAGGCCTATTATTTTCAAAAGGCATGTTGAAAAAATGGGCATTGTGAGTTCTTTTGATGTGTTTGGTTAAGTGAGAGTTTCTTTTTGGTTTTATGTCATTTTACGTTTATTGAATTCTTATTTTAGACTTTCGTAAATGTTGTGTTGGTGACATTTCGCATTTGATTTGATGAATGAGTAATGAGATGTTTATATATATATATATATATATATATATATATATGTATGTATGTATGTATCAAATGTGAATTATTGAGCTCGGCGTCATTAGGACCACTATGCCGTTGGTTGATGCCAGTTGGAGCTGAGGCATAATAGTTCGTAATGAAATATATAATTTCTTTGGCTTTTAAGCATTTGAGAAAAATTAGGGACTGATGTAGAAAATGATAGTATGGTTGTTTGATCACATTGGCATATCATTTTCTCACCACACTCCACACAGATGACTAGTCGATGAAGTCAGTAATATTTGTAACTATGGAAGGAGTTGCATCAATAAAGGATGCAATTGCCGCCATGATTCGATATTGCATGATTTTGTTGGATGGAGTCTTAATTAAGTGTTATATTTTGGAATCATATGTTTGTGGCCATAACATGTTATTAGCCTGAGAGTCACTTTTTTAAAATTTCAAAAATTATGAACTACACAATTGATTTTGTCCAAGTGGGAGAATGTTAGAATTTCTTATAAAATTTATAATGGGCTAAAATCAATTATGATTTTTTATTTTGTCAAAAACAAGATAATATTGTGATCCATTTGATGATATTTAAGTCTGCTAATAATGTGATCAATTATTTAGGCCTTAAATACTTAATATTGATCTAAAGTGGAATTCAGTGTGTGCCTAACCTCCAGGTCCATAATGGAAAGTGCCTAGGTTTAATAAATATAGTGGCTAAGTCCCCTTTGCCGTCATGGTAACATATTTCATTGCTCTCTAAGTTTGCCCTATTAAGAACCTAGGATTAGGAGAACGTGATTAGGCAAAAGAAGTTCTTAGTTTCTCATTACAAAAGGATCGCATTCCACGTAAGTCCACACACAATCAACAATGTCTACAACAAGTAAGTGACTTTACAAATTATTTATTTCAATTAATATTCTAAATTCATGTAATTAGATCCCATTAAATTTGTGCTTACATCTTTCACATACTTGACAATCTATGCTTTGTTAAACTCTGTTCATGTAGTCCATGCAAATGAACTGGCAATTTAACACTTGTAAAAATGTTTACTCTTTCTTCTTCTTTCATATATTATCATAGATTTATTACATTCGAAGGTAATCAAAGAATAGTCAAAAGAAAAGCATGAAACACAAGGACGAAGGAGAGAATAATGGCTTTGCATGCTAGATTTATCCTACAAAGAGCGAATAAATGAATTCCTATATTAACAAAGACAAATAAAAAATAAAATAAATGAAGTGCCTTTCTTTTTGAAAGGGTTAGTGCCGTGATTAACAAATGGGTTTAACTAAGCATCAGTTGGAGCGATCCAGTGCCTGCCATTGACGAAGCTCTTCACGAGAAATGGATGTGCGGATTCGAAATCTAAATCTCTTGCCCATGAGACCCCACGTACGGCTTCTGCTCCTGGTCCCCAACACTTGTACACTCCGAAGAACACAGTCCTGTCATCGTACAACCCCATATCAACAATCCAGATATTATTAAGTCAAGAATGTCGTCATCGTACAATCATAAAATAGAGTTAGTTTACTACAAATAGATGTAAGTGAAGAACAGCTAAGCCAGAAAACTGAATCTACACACTCTTCATACATATTTCTGTACTGCACAGGTGCCCAACAATGTTATATTTATGAATTTATTATTTTTACACATTTTATAATATTTTTTACACCTCAATTTTTCATTTTTATATTTTTCTATCATATCCCTAGTCTTATCATACTCAATTCTATTTTATTTTCTTATTTCTCTCTAATAATAATAATGTGTCAAAAGTATTGTACGAATAGAACTTGTGTCTAATGTGCCCAAAATGAGAATGTGCAACAACTAGATTTTAATGCCGTTTATTGCATTTTGGGTTGACTCATTTCCTAAAGCCATGGTGGCATGCAATAGGATACAATAATTGTGCTATTTTGCCTACAGACAATGGGAACAAGCCGAAAGAGATTGGGAACCCCATGGAGGATGACGTTCAAGTTTTCAAACACTACAGTGGCACCCAAAGCCCAACAATGCTCGGAATTGATCATTGGTCAAAAGTTATAACTCACAAGGGATTGGGGACCCTTTCCTGATATTATAGTTACGGATTTAGGTTTTCTGAAAAAAAAAAAGTGAAGTGAAATTAAAATGTTTTTATAGACCTAATTTAATTTAAATCATCGGTGGATAAAGTCAATTTATGCATTTTCTTATGTTAAAGGAGGTCAAATCCTTTCTATATTTAAACTTTCCTCCTTCTCCTTTAAGCCTACATTCATGTTTTATCCTCTTAACCTGCTTAGATGATACAATGAGTGCAGCAAAGAAATTCTGCTATTGAGATGAAAGGATGAATGCCAATTATTTTATCTCTCCCAATATATTAGAATTCACCAATTCAATGGGTATAAAATGAAACTAAAAATATAAATATTTGAAAAGATAATCACGTGAAATTTCTACAGAAAAAGTTAGATAGAGCTTACTTGGTTTTGTTGTCTGCATGGTCCCAATCATCCCAACCGCCATGTGCAACAATGTCATCGAAATAAGTGTAAGAGTAGACAATTCTTGAGTATTGGCCCATTGCTCGCCCCACATAGAGCGGGCCTGTACCCGTTACCCTGCATCGTACGAAAGCAAAGCCTGTCTTCTCGTCTGGGTATTTCCTATCGTGGGCTGCTATGGAACCGAACCTCGTTGCTATTGAGTGCAACTCGCAATCCTGTGCCCATCAATATTCCCATTCAGCCATTATGGGTAATGTGTGACATTAAAAAGACCATTATGGGTAATAAACTACAATCTAATGACACTTTTATTTGGCCATTTTATTTTATTTATTTTTAAAAATTTAAATTTAGATATTATTGCCTAAGTGCTTGTATCATACAAATTATCAATATAAAACTTCAATAAGAGAATAGCACCTGAAATAATTATTTTAATGTATTTATGTTTTATTCTAAATATTAATTGGCTATGTTATATATTGCATCATTACCTTTTTTATAATTAAACGAGATAAAATTTAAAAATTATTAAAAAAAATATGTAAAAACAGTACTACTCTTTTAATTATCATGTTTTCCATTACATGCAGAGGCAGATGTAGAATTCAATTACCAAGCAGTATACACAAACCTCCAATTTTTTTTAACTTTAGAAAAAGTGGACGTAAGTTTGCATTTAATTTTAGAAACAAAGGGAGAAAAAAAAGACAAAAGAGTTGGAAATGGAGATGAAGTGATGGAGAGATCTGGGAAAATGTTTTGAAAGCTAACGTGATTAAGAACCGGAAGAACTTGTCAGTGGACATGTTTTGTGTTCCATTATATGACGTGGTTCAATATTCCGTTATGTATCTGAATGCTTTGGATTTCTCCTGTTGAATACTGAGTGTGCTGACACAAATGTGCAATGCGTCAGAAAAGCTTGTTTCCTTTTACTATTTTACTATTGCCCCACTAATTCTTTGTCCACCCAAACTACGAAAGCATTCTAAAATAATAAACTTTAAAATTACCAATACCACCCAATGGTTTATTTTTAACCACATCACTCATTTTATTATGTATTTCTTATTTTTATAATTATAGAAAATATTGTAAGAAATATGTGAGAGTAAAATATCGCTACAGACTTTACAATAGTAACCTGCAATAATGCTCTGCTTGTCCCGTTCAATACCATGACCACTAGGCAATGTTGGTAAAATTAAGATAAATAATAAAAAAGAACAAAAATTTAATACATTATTGTAATGAGTTAAGTGGAGTAAATAATGAATCAGTAAATTTTACCTTGTACATGGACCTGCCATTCCCAAAAATGAAATCAATGGAGCCTTCAATGTAGCATTCCTTGAAGTAATGCCGGCCAGCATCGTCGCAAAGTGTGTCTTGTGCACCGTAGAAACCACAGCCGGAGAAGTATGCTTTGTCCCCCGATATGCGAAACGCCGCCGCCTGCCATCCCTGCATCCCCGGCATTGGTGCAGGAGCTGTGTTCTGCGCCACAGTGAATTCATTTTGTTCCTTTATTATTCACTCAAACTTTTACCAAAAAGGAAAAAGGAAAATTCAAAAGTTGATGACCAAGTGCAAAAATTGCAGAAAAAGGCATTTTAAGTTCACGTTAAATACTCATGTTTACATTTATTTTTAACCTTATTAATTATTATTTCTATATTAAATTCATGTTGTTTAGTTTTTAACTTATTTTCAAATACAGAATGTAACCTAAAATTCGGATCTGCAACTACAAGTTAACTAAGCAATACCCGCGATAGGTCAAAAAGGCGAAACACCTTTCTCAACTTTACGGACTCAAAAGAAGAAAACGAAAACTTCTAATTTGGAACCTTATTATTATTACACTTCAAATACAAAAAAAACAAAAAAGGGTCACGTGCAAGAACAAGGTTGGCACAAGCATTACTCATTCTAACAAGAGGGTAGTTAAACAATATTTTAAATTTGATATTTTTATAGCATATTACTAGTTAAAATATTTACCGCAAGTTAAGGTTAGTGAAACGTAGAGATATGCAGAGTGAGGTAGTGTTTGAGTCAGCAATGAATTTACCTTGAAGCTGATATTCCTAGCAGAAAAATAGCTGGCAAAAACAGTAACAGAAGCGGTTCTGTAAGTACGCAGTTGTTGGCCGTTGGGACCAGGGTCACTCGCTCGATCATGCCATTCTATCACTGTCACTTCCTTACCCGCGCCCTGAAATGTTATGTACGGCTTCGTCACGGGCACTACCACCTTTTCTCTGCAACCCCCCAATACCCAAATCAACTACTTCAATATTTTTCTTCACCAACAATAGAAAAAAGTGTGACACTATCCTATATGTATGTCTGTATTAATACACAAAAATATATGGTTAATGAATAAGCTTTAGAAATATTATTTAATTAGTTAATGGCATTTTTCAAGCAATGCAAATTAAGAAACAATAATTAATGAGCTTTATGTGTAATATATACACGTAGCATCCGGCGCTGATTTGAATGAGGACGTTCTTTCTGTTGTTGTCTGGGACGGCATTGACGGCGTCTTGGACGGAACGGAAGTGGCCACCGCCGTTAATGTCAACGGTGATTACGCGGTGACCGATGGGTCCAATCCAATGCTTGGAGAAGTTTGTGGAAGACAATATTTTGAAGGTACTGTTGTGGTGGCGTGTGCACGTCACCGTTGCTGCATGAAATATGCAAGTGAAGACCACAAGTACTTGCAGTGAGATGAAGATTGGAGCCATTGGATTATAGCATCGAAGGCGAAGAAAACAGAACGTTGAAGAACTAGCAGAGAGACTGTGTGATGTTGTATTTATAACTTGTATGGGAATTCTTAGGTGGAAGGAGAATGATTAAAATAATGGAGGAATGTACAACGTGAAAGCAAAAAGCAAGAAGAAGAGAGAGACATTTGGTATATTTTATAGTCAGAGGCTAGTTGGGTCTATTGTGATTAATGGTTATAAGAGTAATGTTTGTTTTTTTTTTCCGGAAAGAATAGAATGAAGATTATGGTCTTTCTAACGGTCATTTTTACTGGGGTACCTGCTTTTTGGGGGCAAAAAAATGTAGATGTAGATTGGCTATGTAGCCTTTTGGAAATTTGATTGGCTGGCATTGCGGTATCGCACACAAAATCTTGTGCCATAAAATTAGTGGGTCGTCATCCTTTTGGCTTGGTATCTCCAAGTAAGATACCACCTAGGTACTAGCAGATCTTTGGAATCCAATAATTGATGATGATTAATATTGATGATGTATATTTATCTGGTAAACATTATGTATATGAAGAAAAAAGAATATGTTAAGAGGTGGTAAAATATGAGATAAAGAGAAAGAAAAAGTAAAATAAGAGTAAAAATATTGTACATGTGTATGAATATCGTTCTTGTTTTTATATTACAATTTTACTCTTTTTAACTAATTATTACACTTACCTCCCTTAGTCTCGTATAGTTCAACAAAGACAAATCTCCCCTTATACTGTGTAAAAAAATCATTTTATGATTGGCATTTCCTTTTTAGTATGTGAACTAGCCCCTGTCAATTTGCTGTTGTTTTCTTTATTATTTACATGCTCTATTCGAGTGTTTTCAATTACCACTAAAGTTGCAAAGTCAAAGGTAGGCTGCAGTTGCACTAATGATGCTATAAAAGCGCATTGGATATAATTACGACAAACTAATTTAGCTTCCATTTTGTCTATTAGGTTCATGAATTAACTCGCTTCCGAACGTATACAGATCTTCACGGGCCAAATTTTCATAATAATAACTTGTAAACTAGAATAATGAACACATAGATACCTTCTTTGAGCCACAATCAACTTCCCAATAAGATGGTGGAGGTTTCATGTATCACATTATATGCTCGATATAATGGGTCCAATCTTGGGGTTCATGCGTCCCTTTCACCTAATTAATTTCTTAATAGATATGTAGTACCTGTCCACGTCCACTGATTCACGACCATGTTTGGCATTGTTGTGCCTCAAACGGTCATTTGGGACGGGGTTATGTAATGTGATCATGGCACATGATGGTCCCTGCATGGATAAATTAATATTTTTGCATTGTGCCCATGGAACCTTTCTATCATAGTCGCAGACAAGTTGGCCCCACCCCACAAATGTTTTTGCGTTTGGGAGCCCACAAAATTTTTGAACGTTGGGGCCCGAACCCACGTCTTCTCTCTTTCAATTTTCGTGGGGAGGATGAGACAATATTTTCCCAAACTTGTGAAAAGTCATTCATAATGATTATGGCGCAAAGAAATTAAAATCAATGATTAGTGGAGTTCCACGGGAAGGGAACTACCATGGTGTCGGGTTCCAAGTTCTAACTTCTTTATACACTCCTTTATCGTTGGACCTCTGCTTACACCAGTGGCTTGCATTTGTTGTCAAGCAATGTTATTTCCACAAAGTTTAGCAACTTTTAAGTCTAATTAAAAGTTAAAACCAATAGAGCCTGTACATAATTAACACAATGAAAATTTTGAGTTAATCAGTGATTAACAATTCATGAGAAGTTTTCTTAGGTAAAATTATGAAAGCAGCTATAATTACAAGCTGTATAAGTTATATTGATAAAAGTGAATTTGGCATAGTTAATGTTTTTCGTTCAAAGAATTATTTATTTTCATATCAAAACTCGTTTGTGATTCGTATTTTGTGCACAATTACTTAACTTTTAGATGTTTAATTATGTTAGTTTTTAATAATTATAAGTTTTGATTGAGTTTTATTTTGTAGGTGAGCTATGAAGAGAAATGGTTTAAGAGCTGAACGTAATCCAAAATTGAGTAAATTTTATAGTAAATTCTATTATTTCCTTAAAAACTTTTAAGATATTATGCAGAAAAGATTTTAATCAATAATACTTAAACACATATTTAAATGATAATTTTGTTTAATAACAATTATTATATTTATTTATTTATTTATTTATCAATTACTCTCTCAATACTTATTTTTAAATTGAAAAATAAAATTTGAGTTTACGTTCTCATGTTTGCTTCATCTTCTTGCTTCATTGTTAATATGTTTCTGTCTCTTTCGCTTCACGTCTCTTCATTACCAATGTTAGTTTCAGCTCGTGCTTTATCTTCTTACCTTAACTTCATTGTTGCTTCTGATCTCTTCGAGTCACTTTATTCTGCCATCAAGGTCGATTCGAGTTCCCTGTCCCATCGTATTACTCCTTCACTACTTTGTACCCTCTCTTTCATCTTCATTAGAAATCCCCAAGCATTTGTTCGCTCTCTCACTCTCGACTTATTGATTCGTTTTGTCTTCTTTTTTTATCGTGGTTCATTGTTTCTTCCTTTCTTTTATTTGTAGGTGCTTGAGGTTGCTCAAATTTATTTTCATCTGCATTTGCTCTCATACTTGAGGTAGGGTTTACTTTCTTGATCTATTTTTTATTTCATTCATGGTTGAAATTTCAAGTTGTATATGATGGATGCTTGATTAGGGTTTTCACTTGATATTGCTCTCTAGTTTGATAATATTTATGATTAGTTTATATATTGTTGATTGAAATCTAGAAATGAGGAATTGAGATTAAGGGTTCTCAAGTTCCAATGGATATGGTTATTGTAATGCATAATCATAAATGAACTTCAAAATGTTCTACCTACTTATAATATACATGAGCAAAATTTGAGAGGTAATAATTCAAATACAGTATTTGAATGCTTTTGTATTAAAATTTCCTTTTGGCATGTAATTTACAATTTTTGTTTAATAAACCACCCATGCTCCAATTGAATATTGTCCTTGTAATCTTTCATTAGTTTGCTATCTTGATCATTAAGGCAAATTAAGTGTTCTTTTGTTTAGTGTTCATTTTCTTTGCTCCAATTAAGTATTCAATTATAGAAATTTTAAATATCATGACATGTTACATAGAAATTTATAACATACATCTTGAAAAAGTCCACTTTTAGTTTCTCAATTATAACAAGTTTATCATTTCTTATTGCAAATAGAAAATATTTGTAATAGTCTATTACTCTTATGAAATTTCAATAGTATGAGCATGAAAACAAGCATACATGCAGACAATAGTAATACTATTACTTATTTAACGAATTAGACTTTGAGTCATTTCTACAAGTTAATATCAACTTACTAGGATCTTAGATTTTAGTTGTAGCAGCTCCATTAGGTGAAATCCCAATTGAGCGTATATTAATTATTGACCGATTATTCTCCATGAAGTACTCCTAGAAAGGGAATGCAGTTCCTAGCCTGTCTGTAACTAATTTTGGTGTTGGTTTGACAATTATATGATTATGTCATTAATAAATAACTAATATATACAGTACAAATGACACTAACAAATATGTCATTCATGGTCTATTAAGGAGTACGAACTCTGCCATAAAGCATAGTTAAGTGGCTTTGTTTTAAATTTGAACTATTATGATTTAGTTGTTAAATTATTAATTCATATGATAGAAATCATCATTGCATAATTTAAATTATGAACTAAAATGCTTACATAATTTAGATTAGCTTATCTTATTTTGTTGATAATAACCAATGAGAGTAACAGTGGTAGAGAAAAGATAACTAAAATGCTTAAATAAAACACATGATATTTTAAAACTCAATATATATATATATATATATATATATATATATATGAATATAATCACATTCAGTTGTAGGTGAAGATGCTACAGATCACGTAGCTCTTTGAGATCTCATAGGAAAAAAATAAAATAAAAGCTGATGCCTTATTTAATTATTTGATTTCTTTGTGAATATGTATGTGTATGCATGCATGCACAAAACATGAAGTTTATGAGAGATTGAAAACATGTCCATCCTCGTAAGAAAGTGTTCTATTAAGGAAAAATATGTAAGAAATTAAGAATAATGATGATATTGTTTAGGTGTCAATTTATTTTATATATAGGATGTAAAAGTGTTGAAGAGTCACTATATTACAATGCATTATTTATTTTGTTTGGTAATTAGTAGTTAATTTAATTGAGTTCATGTGACCGATTTAAATTTTATTTTGATTTTTGACAAAGAATACAAGGTCTTTCCTTTTTGTTTCTGAGGCTGTTGTGTGAATATTTGCACAAAAGTATATAAGCTAGTTGCCTTCACTCTGATATATCTCATCAAATTTCATCACATTTATTTTATTTTATTTTATTTTAAATTTTTTATATTTTCTTTAATCTTTTCACATTCATATTTGTTAAACAAGTTTTTAAAAACCTAATTAGCAATTTTAGAAGTTTTGTTGCAAGATAAGGATATCTGATGCACTATTTTCATAAGGTTAGCACCACAAAATCTTAAGCTTTGCATTATACTTTTGTATTGCTACAATTATTGTGAGGTAGTTTGTAAGAAAATTGACACTAGTTGTAATTAATGATTCAAGAAAACATAAAAAAGATGAAGAAAGTTATGAGTTCAAGCAAGATAATTTACATCTTAATGAGTTGAGCTTTTTAGAGTATTTATTATTTGACATGGTTTGCATATCATTTGACTTGGTTTTGATACCTTGCAAATTGGCAAATGAATATTGCAATTGATTTGAAAGGAAATGGGATTAATTTTCATATAACCATTTGCACATAACAACTCTAGTTAAGTACACTTTCATATGCTTATGTTGTTTATTTTTTCATAGCTATGTTAATTTTATTATTCTACCATGTTAATTTTTTATATTCTTTTTAATAGATTATATAAAATGGTCTCACTAAG